ATGTAACAAGTAGTTACACACACCTACATGAATAGATATGTATTCTGCTACTTCAGTGGCACTTCATACAGTTTAGCATGGAAGACCCTCATATCCAATGACCCTCTCTCTCCACTGAGAAAGGTGTGTATGTGTATACACGGAGATTACTTTAAAACAGCAACTTAATCTTAAGAGGAAGGAGCTCTGGTAGTGCAGTGCTTAAAGCATTTGGCTGCTAACCAAAAGGTTGACAGTTTGAACCCACCAACTGCTCCACAGGGGAAAAAATGAGGCAGTCTGCTTCTGTAAAGATTTATAGCCTTGGAAACCCTGTGGGGCAGTTCTACTCTGCACTCTAGGGGCACTATGAGTCAGAATCAACTCGATGGCAGTGGGTTGGTTTTTGATTGAGTTTTAAGAGAGAAGGAGCCCTGATGGTGCCACGATTAAGTGTTCCATTGTAACTGAAAGGTTAGCAGTTTGAATCTACTTAGTAGCTCCAGGGGAGAAAGACCTGGTGATCTGCTTTGTACAGATTACAGCCAAGACACTGCTGTCACATGGGGTCGCTATGAGTCAGAGTTGACTTGATGGCTAGGAACCACAGCAACAGGTCTTAAGAGAGAGCTAAGTGAAAATATAAGGAGCTTTGGTGGCGCAGTGCCAAAGGCATTTGACTGCTAACTAGAAGGTTGGCAGTTCAAATCCACCAGCCACTCCGCAGAAGGAAGACAGGGCAGTCTACATCCATAAATATTTACCACCTCGGAAACCCAATGGCAGTCATTATGAGTCAGAATTGACTCAATGGCTGTGGGTTTGTTTTTTTGGTTTTTAAGTGAAAATATACCCAGTTAAGTCTGCTCTGTGTGAAACAGAAATGAACCCTCAGGTCATACACAGTACAGAGTAACCACTTACACTTGTCAGACATGCAGGGGCCACTGCTATCTGTGTGCACATGATGAGACACATTTTATTTCTAGCAGTTGTTCTTTGGCCAGCAGATGAATGCCCTAAAATGAGCCAGTTTAGAAGAAATACCTAGTGTGACAAGTCTGTTTATTTCATTGTTCTTCCTCGGGCCTCTGAACACATATGAGAGGAAGTTGGTGAGCCCAGATTAACCTTGGAGGTTGTTTTGGTTCTCTTGTGCCACCATAACAGACATACCACGGATGGGTGGCTTTAACAAACAGGGATTTGTTCTTACACTTCAGGAGGCAGTCCGAGTTCAAAGCAGCAGGTTCTAGGGGCTGGTTGAAGGGCCCTCAACCTTGGGCTTCAGCTCTGCCTCTTGCTTTCAGCCCACTGGAGCTGGCGGCATCTCTTAACTCAAGCAGCTGCTGGCTGCCGAGGCCAAGAAACCCAAGGTTGACAAGCAAAATGGCACAGTCCCAAGATTATCAAACAACACGGCAGGCCACTAGTTCAAGTCCAGAGACAGTCCCAAGATTGGCAGACAACATGGCAGGCCACTCACTGATAACTTGGCCAAATGCAGGATCCAAGTGTGCCAAAAAGCTGCAGAGACCTTTCTCAATGCTTCTCATATACTGGAAGCAGACCACATCCCTAAGGCAGCCACTCAGCTCCTCCAGTAGATCCCACCGTGAAACTGATTACCAGTCTCATCATGGGGAATAACTACATCCAGCTGCCCAGCCACTCAACCAGGCCTAGCCACGTTGACACACAACTTACCTACCACAGAGGTGAATAACCTAAAGCCAGACGTCACT